GCTTGGGAGACAGAGCAAGGCAAGTCTACTAGAGATGTTTACACACCCATTGCTCTAGGCTGCCTTGTAGACTTTGCTCAATGAATGCAGGAAATAGCAGGCTCCCTTAGCACGGAGTTTAAGTCTCCACTTCAAATAAAGAAGTTGGGCAATACTAACAGCAGGTCTTCTCCTTCCCCCTTCAAAGGTACCCCGGTCCTGCCAGACCCAGTATGAAGCAAACTCATGGTTGATAAAATTGTTGAATGCCAGTGTGTCTGGTTGAAGGCAACCATGCTTTGGAGCATGTTCGTTGTAAATACTACAAAGACAGTTGTCCCAACATTGCATCAACTCAGGTGCTCACACGGAAAGGTAGTTCTAACAGTGTCAACAACTGAATTCACCAAGTTCCCAAATATTTACACTTGGTGGAAAATGGGAGATATCCAAAACCAAACTCCAGTGTTCTGCTTGACCCAAGTGTTTAAAGTGTTTGCCAATGCTTTAAAATGTGAGGTTATAGATGGCTTAGTAGTTAAGAGCGCTGACTGCTCTTCCAAAGGGCCTAGGTTCAATTCCCAGCACTCACATGGCAACTCGATAACTGTCTGAATTTCAGTTCCAAGGAACCCAAAATGTGAGGAGATATGTTTGTGTGTGTGTGTGCATGTATGTGTGTGTATGTCTATGTATGTATAGACATACATACATATGAAGATTCCAATTTCAGCTCTTTATTGTAAAATCAGAAGTTTCACACTGAGCATGCATTCATTCCGGTCATTTCTAGATGGTCCTGAGTAGCACACTGAGAAGGGACACCCTGTTCAGTTCCCCCACAATCCTCACTCAGCCCTCTTCTTGGGCACGGGAGTTTAGAACTACTAATTCTTAGCAGAGATGGTCTCTATGGAGACCACATCTGACTCTTTATATTAAAGATCCTCTGCCAGGAATTTGTCCCCTCCCCTGTGCAGTCTATTTTCTATAATATCAGAAGGTGCTGTGCAAAGCTTCCGAAAGAGGGAAGCAATAAATTGCCCTACCCAGCTGTGACACCTACGAACCATAACAATGACCTGCAAAGCAAGATAAGACATCTCGGAAGGCGCAATAGTGACACGTTTTGGTGGTAGCCAATAGGTGTATAATTAAGTTTAAGGCACACTCGGGAGTGACGTCATACCAAGCCAACTACCCAGGGTGAGTAAAACTGTGGTTCTTGAAGGGGAACCTACTGTATAACCACTTTATTAGACCAGCATAATTCCTAACTGCATCTGCAACTTATACTTGACCTGACAGATAACCTTGTACTGTGGTTCTCATCCATCATCAAAGCCACAACTGGTCAAAAATGCAGAGGACAACCAATTGTGGGGTGCACAGCCCCAATGGACACATCTACAACACAACTCCCACACCTTAAGCTCTGGGAACATCTTGGATGAGTGGGTAGGAAGACTGTAAGAGGCTGGAGACCGAGAATCCTGCTGTGAGATTGTATCTACTAGAATGACAGAAAAGTGACACCCAAGATACTGCAACAATGCCACTGCCTAAACGAGACCTGAACAATAATACCAATGAAAAATGCTAAGGTAGGCCAATGTTGGTGGCGCATGCCTTTAATCCTAGCACTCGAGAGGCAGAAGCAGGTGGATCTCTGTTAGTCTGAGGCCAGCCTGGCCTACAGAGAGAGTTCCAGGACAGCCAGGGCTACACAGTGAAACCCTGTCACAAAAAAACAACAAAAACAAAAAGCTAAGGTAAAAGGGGGAAACCCCATCCCTACGCAAAGAAGTACGGAGAATTAACAACTGCTGAGAGGAATTAGTCTTGCTCAAGGATGAGCCCTCTAACTGGTCACCCAATATAAGTGGTCAGCCCTGAAATCATACACATAATAAAAGAAACACTAAATCGACTAAGCGGGTGGTACAATTATATTTACACATACATATATAACAATAATAATCAAAGAAAGAGAAGCATAAATTTTCGAAGGAGTGAGAAGGGATATAGAAAAGGTTGGAAGGAGGCCATAGGAAGGGTTGAAGGGAGGAAAAAGGAAGGGAAAATTATGTAATATTTTAATTTAAATTTCTTGCTTTGTATTGTTTTCAAGACAGGGTTTTTCTCTGTGTAACCCTGGCAGTCCTGGAACTCCTTCTGCAGACCACAGTGGCCTCAAACTCAAAAAGAGTGTCTGCCTCTGCCTCCTGGTACTAGAAATGTGTGCCACCATGTCTGGCTTAATCTTTTTTTTTAAGGATCCATATATATGCAAACCAAGGACTCATCTGGGAAATTACAATAAACAAAAAAGATTTTTTCTTTTATCAAAAAGCCATGTTGCTTTCACTGTCTTCTCTGAAATAAAGAGAGGGAAATTAGTCTACACATTTTATTTGTAAAAAGGGAGGGAAATTCACCTACACATTTTATTTGTAAAGTAAATAGCACACTCAGCCCTTAACCCTTAAATAAATGGTGGAGGTAAATCCAAGTGTGTGTAATTGACTGCAGATTCTTGTGCTCAGAAGGGGCATAGTAAATACTGCTGAGAGCGCTCTCATTCTCTCTCTCTCTCTCTCTCTCTCTCTCTCTCTCTCTCTCTCTCTCGTTTTTTGAAATGGTTTCTCTGTGTAGCAGCCCTGGCTATCCTGAACTCATTCCATAGACTAGGCTGCTCTCGAACTCACTCACAGATCCACCTGCCTCTGCTTCTGGGAGTGCTGGAATTAAAGACATGCACCACCATGGCCAGCTACCAAGAGTCTCTTAAAGTCTGGAAACTGTAATGTATTCTTCTGTATTGCCAGAATACAATAAAGATGGTTATAATCTCAGGAAATGAGTTTTAAATAAATAAGCATTAACCCAACCTCACTGGCCACCCATGGTAGGGAATTTCAAGTCATTTGTGGTCAAATATTCTGTTGCAAGTCAACCCAAATTAAAATTGCCACCAGGAGGCCTCAACCCTACACAGAGAACTGCAGGCAGCTAAGGAATGCTGAGAGTGCAGGAGATAATCTTCCCCAGGGAAGACTGCATCAATTGGTTTTCCAATGTCAAATGGTCAGCCCTGAAACTTACATACTAGTAATTACACAGACTGAGCAAGTCGTATTCCATGCATATATACATATACATATATGTGTGTGTGTGTGTGTGTGTGTGTGTGTGTGTAAAACTATCAATGAAAAAAGGGCCAAAGAATTGGAAGGAAAGAAAAGAAGGGCATACGAGAGAGCTTGAAGGGAAGAGAATGGGGAGTGATCTAATCACAATTTAAAGAAATCATTTTTTAAAAAGCTTAACTGCCCTTTCTGGCTGTTTAAGTCATTTATCGCTTGGGGGCTGGTGTGGTTATGAGTGGTCCAAAGTACTTCCTGTTCTCAGGGAGGACCAGAGTTTGGTTCCCAGTACCTGTACAACCACCGGGAACTACAGCTCCTCAGGGGTTCCCAAGCCCTCTTCTGGCATCTTCGGGGACAGGTTTGTGTGTACGTACAGGCGCACACACAAATAAATAAAAATAAACCTTCAAATAATAAAAGTGAACAAAAAGAGACTTTTCTCTTTTAGAATATAATGAAGAAACTGGAGACAATTTTCTTTTACTTCAATTTGTTACAGGACTTTTGTGGAATGCTATCGTCAAACAATAATTTTAAAGCTCAATTATGGAATAAGAATAAAACAAGGACTTCTTTTAGGATGTTTGTCTCGTCTATTCTTAATTTCCCAGCTACCAGAAGGATACCATGTGATAGAACCTGAGACTTTATTTATTTATTTATTTATTTATTTATTTATATTTAGTGGATACTGATTTCCCTAAAAAACTAAATCACTGTGGAAACACAATTTTTTAAAAAAGCACAGGGCTGAGGACTTGAATGTCGCAAAGCACACACATGTACATACATAGACACACACCCACGCGCACACACACACTCTCTCTCTCACTCACTTCCAAGCCTGTTTCCCAAGGCACAGTTACTATGCTGAAGTTTCCAACCTGTGTTAGAACGGCGGTTCTCAACCTTCCTCACGCTAAGACCGTATAGTACAGTTCTTCATGTTGTGGTGAACCCCAGCCACAGAATTATTTCATTGCTACTTGATAACTGTAACTTTGCTACTGTTATAAAGCGTAATGCAAATACCTGATATGCAAAATACCTAATGGGCGGCCCCAAAGGGGTCGCGGCCCACAGGTTGAGAATCAGTGTGTTAGCCAGAACTGCACCTGTTTGTTAAGAAAGTCAAGGTTTCGTTTAGCAACAGAGCACTTCGAGTTAGGAAACTCTGGGGAAATATTGGACACTGAGCTAGAAACTTAAAATATTTTTTTAAATTACATTTGAAACCTCTTCTATCACAGTAATTTTTAAGTCACTCACACACGAACTTATTGTCTTAGTGGCTGCGAAAACAGCACAGGTCTTGTGACTTCAAATTCGCAGACTCATACTCGGCTGACACTCTGGCAGTTCTGACTCTAACCGTAAACTCCGCTTTGAAATCACACTGCCCAGTCCCGGACACCTGGAGGAGCTTTGGTGACAGTGACAGTGACTGTTCCAGACAAACAGGACTACCAAGACTGAGAACCATTGCGGCAGGGCAGGGGTGGGCGCGGAGGTCTCCCACACTTCTAATAAACACACACTTGCACACACGCAGTCCTTGGCAACCCAGCACCAGTTACCAGGTTCCTCCTGGGACCCGCGCTTTTCCTTCAGTCCCGAGCAGATTTGTCATCTCCTCCAGGGTCCTAGGACGACTCTGCCTCTACTTTCGCCTCTCCCACTCAGGCCGGCCAGCAGATCCCGAGGCTAACCCAGCCACCAATTGCTTTCCCTCCCACTCCCAGATCCCAAAGGCGGAGTGAGAGGGGCAGAGGCACCCGAGCGCGCCACGTGGGTTGCCAGCCAGCAGCCAGATCCAAGCCAGATCCAAGAGGGGTCCCCGCTCTGCTCCCGCCCCCGGCGCCCGAGACTTGCCTGGTTAGGGTCGGTGGCTCGGAAAACGTGGCAGGCCATCTGCGACTCGGGGTCGTCCGGCTGCGCCTTGATCAGGTAGGCAAAGTAGGTGAGGTCGTGGCTGTTGTGGATGAATCGCGAGATGTGCTGCGCCTTGTGCTCGAAGATGAACACCCCGGTGTTGGGCTGCACAGTCCCGGAGCCAGCGCCCCCGCCGACCCCGGCACCCGGCGCGGGGACGCAGCGCAGGAAGGGCGCGCTGAGCACCAGGAGCACCTCGCGGGCTGCCGGCGCCCCGCAGCCACCGGCCTCCGGCTTCTGGCTGCGCCGGCGGATCTCGGCCATGAGCCAGGGTAACATGGGCAGCGTGGTCCTGCGATCCAAACACGACCCTCCCACGTACCACAGCCGGAAGCGCTTGTCACCCGGCTTGGCGGCACCTGGCTGCGCTGGGGTGCCCGGCTCGGGCTCCAGAGGGTGCGGGAACGGCTCATCCTGAATGCAGCTAGGCGACTCCATAACTCCCGCCTAGCGAGGGCACCGCGCCCCCAACTCTCACTGTGCCGGCGCCGCGGAAACTGCCAACTGTCGCCCCAGGCCCCTCGCGCCCTGCCTTAGTGCCACCAGCCCTTGAAGTCCGCGCTTCAGCGGCCCTGCCCCATGCGACACTTTCCCGGGCGCGGCTAGGAGGCTCCGGCTGCAGCGCAGTGGACCAGCGGGAGACCGAGGCTCACGCGCGCATCCTCCTTCCTGGAGATCGCGCCTGCGGACCCGCCTGGCCTCCTGTCGCCCGTCCTCGGGGTCGGGGACCACGCCGGCCGCGATCTCCTGCTCCCGCTCCTGCAGCCCGCTCCGGACGCCGCGGCGCTCGCCCAGCGCTGGCACTGGAAGGCTGGGCGGAGAGTGGGGCTGTGGGCGGGAAGGGGTGACTCGGGGCGGAGCTGACTGCTAGCAGGGTGACCGGCTGTCACCTGGAAGGTCGGGGGCGCGGGGGGTGCGGCCCGCTCAGTCCCGGAGAACTATTCCAATGGAAAATAACAAAAACAAACGTGGCCTCCCGCGGGCGGCTCCTCCAGCCGCTGACTCTGCAGCCCAGATCGCTGCTCCTCCTCCAGGGTTCCCGTCCCTCCCTCGTTCCTTCCTTCCTTCCTTCCAGGCCGCTACTTTAAAGCCGGCTGCTGCCCTGTCGTCTGTCCTGCCCGAGGAGAGCTTTGCCTGCAGCAGCCGATCTGAGGTCGCCTCCCAGCCTCTTCCTCCTGCCTCCGCCCCTCACCTCGCCTCAGGGGCCAGCCGTACCCAGCCTGGCGCGGGCACTTCCCGAACCAGACCAGCCTCTCTTCTCTCCTGGAGACTCTACTGCCCCCTGGAGAGGGGCCACTCTCAGTGGGGCACAGGGATTCTTTTTTTTTTTTTTCTTTAAGCAATCATTGCTTGGTTTTATTCCGTCTAAAATCTGAATATTACTATATTCTGCATCCTGTTTGTCTACTCTCGAGCACTGCTTGTGTCTTCAGTGACAATTATATGACAGAATAGTTTAATTGTAATATTCACTTTAAACTATAACACTATTTGGTATGAATCTTCTGGTTTCTTAACGAAGCTAACTTTTTTTTGTTGTTGTTGTTCAGACAGGGTTTCTCTGTATTGTTTTGGAGGCTGCCCTGGAACTCGCTGTGTAGACCAGGCTGGCCTCGAACTCACAGAGATCCGCCTGCCTCTGCCTCCGGAGTGCTATAATTAAAGGCTACAATGCCCGGCCACGAAGCTAACTTCTTAAAATAAAAAGAAATTAAACTTCTTCACATATCCCCACTTCAGAACTATTGTAAATTTCTTCCCTTTTATGTATGAGGATACATATTTCAAAAAGCATTTCAGGGATATTTTAATTATTCTATTTTTTAAGCAGAACGGTAGTGATATAATTACGTTTTCCATTTTAGCAAATTAAACTGGTTTTGTTATTGTTGTTACTATTTTAAGACAAAGTCTCCTTCCTGTACAGTACAGATTGACTTGGAACACCCCACCTTCCTGCCTCAATTTTCCAAGTCATGGGGTGACAGGAATGTGTCACCATCCTGTAAGAACTCTCATACTCTCTGTCTACCCTTATTGGATGGTAAGGATTGGGTAAAAGAAAACCAAAACAAAAATGGAAACCTTCAACTTACTTGCTCCCAGCTGCTTAGAAGAAAAATGAAAACACCGGTTTCTCTTGTTTCTGTAATTAATGGTGTTCTTAATTTCTCTAACATCCTATGGCCATTTTGCTTCTTGTTCATGCAAAGTCAAGATGGTCACATTTGCTACACTTCTGAGGCCACCATGTAGCTAGCCTCTTGTTAATAACCATCTAAGCTCCAAGACAGAGATGTTATTGGTTGGTTTAAGTCACTTATTTTAACACTTACAAAACCTTTGTGCAAAATACAATCCAAATCTTCAAGGAGCAATGAAACGTCTGAGACCATGGACAGTGGCATCCTAAGATCTTAGGGGACACATATGAGGCTTGTGAAAGAGAAAGAAAAGAATTATGTCATGGGTCAATTACAGAAGCCTTACAGTCTTACAGACCGGCCACATCAATCAATGTTGGGATTAGGAGTGAGTTTGGAGCTGCCAGTTCCTACTGGCATAATAAATTCAAGCAATGGAAAATAAACTTTCAGTGATTGACAGGAAAACAGAGATACTGTCTTCAAATGTATAACAAGTTAAATAGGGTTGCTTCCTGCTCTGGAGGTTTTGACCTGTTCTTTATTTCTGTGTTTATCTTATGTTTATAAATGCTACTACATGGGAAGTTAATTCTCTCTGCCTTCCTGAAGTTAAATACAGCCATGTGATGTGACTTATTTTTTGACAGAGACATGCAAACAGAAGTGACTTGGGTTATATCTGAAGTAGAAGCATTTAATTGGAAGTACAGTAGTGGACACGTGGTCACTTTGCTGTCCAGTGGCCTTGGTGAAAACAATGCTTCCATATGGAGGGGCCTCGTGGTCAGAGACCAGACTGCTGAGCCATGACTCTGTGGACAGCTGTCCTGGAAAACCTGCCAGGGACAAGACAGACTCCTCACACATAAACAATAAACTTTTGTCCTATTTTGGCCATTGAGACTGTGGGTGTGTTTGTTTCCTTATTAACCTACCGTAGCCTGGCAAATAAAATGGGTTCACTAACACACATTTATCATAACTTGTTTTATAATTATTGATGTAGTTGACTCTGTGCTTACATAAACTAGATGGCAAGCTATCAGTTAGTTTCTTACAATCACTGTTTCACCTCCAGAACCCCAGAATCATTTACATATAAAAAGCAATCAATTGCATAATCACCACTTGGATTTTGAAGACAATATACAACTACAGCCTAAAGGAATGATTACACAGACTATGCGGGTGAATCGTGTTTACTTTATGTGGAGGCAGAATATAGGTGGCTATAGCCTCCAGCCCTTCCCCTCTCTCCCTCCCCCCAAATGAAGACCCGAAGAACATGTATAGAGACAGCATTTCCAAAGAATTGGTGGAAGTCTCTTTCCTGGGGAATCCTGGGAGAAATGTCTACCTACAATACCGAGAAGTGAGCTTCATATACGGTTAAAATGTTCTTTTCCTACTCCAAATAAAATTGTGCCAATACTACTAAAAAGCTGTGAGGTGCTCTCAAGCCTTAAATAACTTGTGCACGAGAAACAGAAGGCCCTGAATTAGGGCAAAGTTGAAAGAGGAGAAAGGTTCGGTTTGTTGTAGTCTTCTTTCTATTCTTGTTTTCCTCCCAAATGCAAGGGTCTTCTCTCCTCCCCCACTCTCCATCTTTCTCTGTGTCCCTGCTGCTCTCTTACACACACACACACACACACACACACACACACACACACCTGATATTCACACACATCTGGTGTTCACACCACACACATCTGATATTCACACACATCTGGTGTTCACACACACATCTGGTGTTCACACACACATACACACACATTTGGTGTTCATGCACACATTTGGTGTTCACACACACATACACAAACATATACACATTTGATGTTTACACACACATTTGGTTTTCACAAACACACATACACACATTTGGTGTCCACACACACATATACACACACACATACACATCTGGTGTTCACACACACATCTGGTGTCCACATACACATGCAATTTTCTTTCCTGCTTAAAAATAAAGCTATGGGATTGTAGAGATGGCACACTGAATAAAACACTTGCTTTGAAAGTGAAATGGAATTCTCAGAATGCACATAAAGCCAGGCACAGTAGCAATGTATATTCCCGGAAGCTCATGATCAGCCAACTAACCTGATGTACATGGGGGCCAACAACAGAGACTCTGTTTCAAACAAGGTAGAAGGCAGCAACTGACACCAAGGTTGTCTTCTGCTCTCTAAACTTGCCCTGTGGTGTGCCTGCACACTGAAACGATTGAAAAAATAGCAATAAATAATTGTGTGCTCCTGCCTTTGTGAGGCTTCATCAGACTCTTCTTCTCCAACTGTCTTCTCTTCCTATCACCCCACAACCAGAGCCTTTTCCATCCCTCATGACTTGAACACCTTTCATTATTCAAAATCCAATCCCAGACTCGTATCTCCTGAAGCTACCATACCCAGCCACAGCTGGTAGCTGCTCCTCTTTGCCCCCTCTCCTGGTTATCCCACTAATATACCGGTTATGACATTCTTCATAATTACTGAATGACTCTCTGTGTCCTGCAATGGAGTGATGCCATCAGGTGGTGACATTTGGGGGTCTGGGAGCGAATCCACGTTCTCTGCTAACTTTAAGAATTAAAAAGGCCATATCATGCTTGTCTTTCTGTGTCTGGGTTACCTCACTCAGGATGGTTTCTTCTAGTTCTATCCATTTCCCTGTGAATTTCAAGATGTCATTGTTTTGTTTTTCTGCTGAGTAGTACTTCATTGTGTAAATGTACCACATTTTCTTTATCCATTCTTCACTTGAGGGGCATCTAGGTTGCTTCCAGGTCCTGGCTATTACAAAGAATACTTCTATGAACATAGTTGAACAAATGTCCTTGTGGCATGAATGTGCATCTTTTGGGTATTTGCCTAAGAGTGGAATTGCTAGATATTGAGATAGGCTGATTCCCATTTTCCTGAAGAACCACCATACTGATTTCCAAAGTGGCTGTACAAGTCAGCACTCCCACCAGCAATGGAGGAGTGTTCCCTTCTCCACATCCTCTCCAGCATAAACTGTCATTGGTGGTTTTTTTTTATTTTAGCCATTCTAACAGGAGCAAGATGTTATCTCAGAGTTGTTTTGATTTGAATTTCCCCGATGACTAAGGATGTTGAATGAACAATTTCTTAAGTGCCTTTTGTCCATTTGAGAGTCCTCTATTGAGAATTCTCTATTTAGATCTGTATTCCACATTTTAATTGGATTATTTGGTGTTTTGGTGACTAGCTTCTTGAGTTCTTTGTATATTTTGGAGATCAGCCCTCTGTCAGATGTGAGGTTAGTGAAGATCTACTCATTCATAAGTGGATATTAGACATAAAGCAAAGGATAACCAGCCTACAATCCACAACCCCAGAGAAGCTAGGAAACAAGGAGGAAGGACCCTAAGAGAGACATACATGGACCCCCAGAGAAGGGGAAAGGGACAAGATCTCCTGAGCAAATTGGGAGCACAGGGAGAGGGATGAAGGAGAAAGAGGAGGGGAGAAGGAGAGTGGGGAGGAGAAATGAGGGATCAGGAAGGTAGAGCTGAGGGAAGAACAGAGAAGGAGAGCAAGGAAAGAGAAACCTTAATAGAGGAGCTGCTATGGGCTTAACAAGAATCTGGCACCGGGGAGATCTTCAGGGATCCACAAGGATGACCCCAACTAACAATCTAAGTAATAATGGAGAGGCTGCCTTAAATGCCCTTCCTCTATAAAGAGACTGATGACTACTTTAAAAGCCATCATAGAGCTCACCTAGTAGCTGATGGAGCAGAAGCAGAGATTCACAGCTAAGCACTGGAACTCCTGGAATCGAGTTGTAGAGAGAGAGGAGGGTGAACAAAGGGGTCAAGACCATGCTGGGGAAACCCACAGAAACAGCTGACCTGAGCAAGTGGGAGTTCACAGACACTAGTCATAAAACTGGGGAACCAGCACTGGACTGAACCAGACCCCCTGAATGCAGATGTCAGCTGGGGGGCTTGGACAGTCTATGGGGCCACCGGCATTATTTATCCCTGGTGCACGAATGGGCTTTGGGATACTAGATACATGGGATAGGGCCTAAGTCCTGCCACAAA